GATAAGGTTTATTTTTGTTTGTTTCATCGGTTGATTTCACTCTGATTTGTATTTATATCATGGAGATTACAGTGTAAATAACAATATATATCCGGATCCCTATGTGTTTCCCCTGACAGTGAATTAAAACATCAAGGCGTATATCTGGAGCAGTGTTCGATGCCAGCCTCACAGTCCGCTGTCGTTCCCCTCTGACGCCCTTGGGTGGCGGGCCTGTTCCGGACGGAGCGCACTGCTCTCTGATTGGCCGCAGCGGCGTGCGCGTCCCCGTCGTCTCCTCCCGGTTTTCCTGGCATGACCTTTTCCCTTGGCAACCACTTCCTCCGAGCATCCACGGCCATCTTTAATTTGCAGCCATTCATGAAAAAGTTGCCTCGCGCATGTAAACACGCCGAACGGACGCGGTTTACGCACGAAGCGGCGGCACCGACCCACGGCGCGGTGTGTGTCTGTGTGTGTGTGTGTGTTAGTGTGTGTGGTTCCCAGGGAGCAGCGGCACAAACCGAGCAGAGCAGCAGGCTGTGACCCGCAGAGTCCAAAGTGAACACCGAGAGCGTACGTGCCACATTGTTCATTCCTGCGCCCTGTGCGTTCCACACACGTCTCCTCTCGTGTGTTTGCAGCCACACGTATGTTCTCTGCTGAACTGTGCGAGGACACGTGTGTGTGTGTGTGGAACAGTAACGTGTTGCGTGTGAGTGTGAAGCAGCTGCGTGTTGTGCTCCTGATCCAAACAGCAGGTGGAGCGCTATAATAAGCGATCATTGTGTGAAAGGCACAGCAGCAGAGCCATGTTGTCATCGTGCTTCTATCACTGTGGAGGTCAAACAGAGAAATAAGACACTTTCTGTTTGTGTTGGTATCGTGCCTGTGTGTGTTTGTGTGGAGACAATAATATGAGCTGGCGGTCATGCTTGTTTTGTGCCATGGCAGGATGAGAAAGAAGCAGACTGCCAAACAGAGGAAGACTGAGGAGACTACAGTTGTCCAGGAGTTTGTGGTGGAGAAAATCATTCGCCGCAGGGTCTCTGATGGGAGAGTGGAGTACTTTCTGAAGTGGAAAGGCTTCACAGAGTGAGTGAGGTGCTGCCCAATCACACACTTGCTTCCTCACAGTTTTTGCAATTGATGGTTGAGTTGTTTTTTTCCCTTTTGTCTGTCATTCCTCTTAACACAGTGCAGAGAACACATGGGAACCCGAGGACAACCTGGACTGTCCCGAGCTCATCAATGAGTTCCTGAGAAACGCCCTCCATCGCTCATATGAGGAAGAGCACAGTGAGTTCATTCCCAAAGAAGAAATGACAGAGCAAGAGACGGAAATTGTGAGTATATGAGGAATGCAGTGCCAGCACGTCTGTGAGTGCTGTTGTTTCCATGTTATTTACAGAACGTCTGCACCTAAATCTGTAAAAAGGAGGATCATGATTAATCATTTTCTTATGCATCACAATAGGTTTATAGTTGCACTCTTTCTCTTTTATTCTCTTGAAATCGAAAGAGGTTGCACTGGACTCGAGTTACAACATTTTGGAAGATTTCACTTCTTCTTTTTTGAGTGTTTTGAGAGTTTGAAGTTTGAAGCCAAATGGCGTGTGTTGGTTAGTTTTGCAACACCCCTGAAAGTGAAAGCAGTTATATTTCCTGTTCTCAATGAGGTATACACTTAAACTAATGTGGCTTTAGTGATTTCCTCTCACCACTGTACTTTTGTCCTTGTCGTTCTCCCTGCAGTCCTGTTTGCAGTCTCAGCAGCAGGCTCACACTTTGCAGAGCGACGGCGACATCCTCGAGCCGAGCGACGAGCATTCAGATTCCCCCGCCAGCCTCAGCACTTACCTCGAGCCTGAATGCATCATTGGCTCCACAGACAGACAGGGAGAGCTCATGTTCCTCGTCAAATGGTAACTCCGCTGCTTCCCCTTTTCCTCCCGTCCTTGAACGAGCACCAGCGGTTTGGTAAATGTTTGCGTGGTGGTAAAAGTCGCACTTGTTCTGAGGGGGAGAAGCTACAAACTGCCCTTGTTCAGACAAAACAACATGTGTCAGATTCATGAGGGTGTTTCATCTTGTTGTTGGAATTGAGAATTTTAGCCACTTCCCAAACGAAAGTATCATTTACCGAAGGTTGAGTCACCATTTGCAACGTGAAAAAACATTTCCCAGCTTCAAAAGCAGATTATCAGGGTTTCCAAAGGGTCTTAAAGTTTTAATTATTAGAATCTTAGGCCTTTAACGTTACGGTAGGACTTCACTGTTATAACCATCACTTTAAACTACTTCTGTCACATTTGACTGTGTGCTCTGAACAATACCGATAGTAGCATGTTGTAATAAAACTAAAAACAAGACTGTCACTGATAACAGAGTCTGCAGACATCCAGAATTTATCTTCGTACGCTCTTCTTGGCTGTGTGGACCTCTACTGTCTCTGTGGTTTGTGAGCTAACATGGCGTTTCGAGGGTTATTCTCTACAAGGGTACTTCACCTTCTCTTCAATTAGCAATTCTGGGACTTAATTGAAGTAGATCGTAAATCTTATTCATTATGGTCTTAAAAAATTCTTCAATTAAACCTCCTGTAACCTGCAGAAACCCTGACTATGGAGAGCATCACACTCAAACACATTCAAACTAGTGTATGTAATAACATTGTTTGGTTAAAAAAAAAAGAAGACTGAGTGGCAGACACCTAGTGGAATAACGTGTCTGTGGTTTTTCACAGGATTGGTTAAGTCTGAAAAAATAGACGTGACACCGTTCCTTGAAAAAAAAAAATCTCGAAACAAAAATTTTATTACAGAAATCTGGCAAATAAAAAGGATGTCTGAAGTCTCAAAGCGTCTTAAGCATGCATGGAGGATCCGTGTTCATAGCTCATGGCTCGATTTTTGTCACAACACAATGAATTATCTGGTCATGTGCGGCGTTGGCACTTCAAAAACACGCATGCAAACAACTTTTTATGAAAGTCTTCAATGCGAGGTATTTATTCGTCGTGCACCTGGTGATCATTGCACAGAAAGATGATCTGACTGCACTTTGATAACTTTGCAGTGTTGTAAAATCCACTGCTCATTATATTATAAACCACTGTGCAGTGCTTCTAACACGTGGATCTGTTTTTCACATGGCACCTGAAGCAACATGCCCCGCACCCTCAAAGCATTATGGGAAGATCTAGTGCCTTTAACATTTGTTGAAATGGAAAACTGAATAGCTGCGTTACATCTTGACGTCAGAACAACCGTAGTTAGATATTTCACTGGCTGTGCTTTTTAATCATTCCTTCACAATAACCTATTTTAAGACGTGTGTGTTGCTGCTGAAACACTTTACATACCTTAAAAATAGGTGGCGGCCGTATTTTTAATGTTTTCCGTCTGCTGTGTGTTTCCCCACAGGAAGAACTCCGATGACGTGGCCCTGCTGCCCGCGCATGAAGCCAGCGCCAGGTGTCCCCAGGTGGTCATCGACTTCTATGAGCAGAAGCTAACCTGGCACTGTGGAGACGAGGAGCCGTGAAGTGTGTGTGTGTGTGTGTGTGTGTTATAGAGAGTGTGCGAGTGTGCGTGTGTTTGAGTACGTAGGAGAACCGGTAAACGGCTGCGTTCTCACCTGAAGCTCAGTTTAACCTCCATCCAGTGTCCTCCTCCAACTGACATTGGAGGCACGCTGTGTGAAATTACATCCCGCTGCAGGTAAGAGTTTCAGAATCTGTCAGGTGGAAGAACCTCAGCCGGGACGAATGTTTAGGGCTCTCTGTCCCGTGGTGCTCAGTAAGGTCACTGTGCCTTTGTGGAGACTGTGATGGAGACTTAAACTAACCTGTGTGTGAAGAGCAGCCGGTCTGAGGAAGACAAACCTGTAGCAGCTTTGTTCGTGTGTCATGATGTAGCTGACACAATCACTGTGGACATGTTGTTTTCAAGACTACTGTTATATAGTAATTTAGTATTTATAGCCCTCCACTGGGAGGGGTCCCTGGTTTAGTGTGAGCGTTGTATCTTGTATAGCGACACTTTGTAGGCAGAGTGAACTAACTGTTGTCTGATATGTACCTCCAGTGCACCTAGCTCTTTGGTTAGAGCCCGACCGACATGGATGTTTGGAGACTGATGCCAGTACAAATATTAGTGAGTAAAAAAACGTCAGTATTGATATATTGGCCTTCATATATATTTTTGGGGGAAAAAATTTTGAGCTCTTAAGGCTAATTTATGCTCAACATTCGATAAGTGCAGGAAAACAGGCCGAGCCGTCAGTCTGTACTCTGCGTTCATTTAATCTATATTCTATACTCGTTTGTGGATACAGATGAAACAATTTAAAAGGAGCAGTACCACAGGAAATCACAGGGGGCGGTGTAGCCAGTAGCTCAGGCGAATGAAGGAAGAAATTTCAGCAATAACACAACTGAGGAGGTGTTAAGAAACTACAGGTGTCCCAATGATGTTACCTCACCTGGGCAAAAGGACAAAGCGCTACTTTTACCTCTTCAGACCTACTTTATCACAACCTTCTCCTTCGTCACAATGTTTGTTGTTTTCAGAAACTGCACTGCCCTCTAGTGGATGCACTGTCTAACCACGCCAACGTGAAAGACAGGGAAATAAACGGGATGCGACGGTTACATCGTTTGAAATTGACTAATCTCTTTTCATACATGAACGCTGCATAAATGAGCCTCAATATGTCAGTATGACAAAGAAATGTCATTAAGGCTTGATATTTTACTATTTAACCTTAAATTTTGAGATAAATAATTATAAATACAAAGAAAACACGAATGCAACCAAACAAATAGAATTTGAATTAGGAAAATACAATTTTCTTATGCAAACTTTTTTTGCATTAGTATAAAATACAAAAAATACAAAATACAATTTGTTTTGGACACACTGCATTATGATATATCAACAGCCATAGAGTTTTTCAGCATTGTTTTTCCCTGTAAAAATGTAAGTTTTCATGATGGTGCAGATCGGCAGGAATATTTATATCAGTCGTTGTTTTTAATCAACCAACAGAGAAATCAGTCGGGCTCTAACTTACATATTATTTGAACATGTATAGTGTGAGGTGTTTGTAGCCATGGTTTATACTGTGTCTCACTGTGTCTCACTGTGTCTCACTGTGTCTCTATGACCCGTGAGGTTGATGTTAAAATTTGCCCCACCAGAAAATGTCCCCAATCAGCTGCTATGAACCAAATGTTCTCCCCTCTAATGAATCATCACAAGTTGTTTTTTTAAAGGAACATTTGGCGCTTTTAGACATAGTGGAATCCTGGCAATCATTATATACATTAGATAAAACTATAAGTTTGAAAAAATGGATTGTGAAATGTAGCACTTTAGACGTGAGACTGTCCGCTAGTGGAGGGCATTGTCTTCCAGTAATTCCACAGGCATGGACATGAAACCTGTCTCCTGACTCGACATATCTCCCATCATTGTTATGGGACACTCAGCTGAACCTTCGACCTCCTAAAACTCACCTGCTACTGAAACTACTGTAACTGTAACTGACCATAGATCTGTGAAGTCTCTGTGAATAAAGGAAAACATTTTGTGACACTTTCCTATTCTCTTTTTTTTTCAGTCCATGTTTTTCAAATGTTAGATTTATAAATTATGAAGTAAAAAAAAACATCAGAGAAATTGGGAAATGCTGATTTTAAAAAATGGGGGGGGAGCTACTCATGGTCTTTGGTCTTTGGTCTTGTGACTTTATTTTGAAAACCTTTGCTCCTGGGCAGAACAGCTTGGTATAAAAGGCTCGGGCACAATCCTAAGAACAGAATTATCCTGACGACTTTACACTTCTGATATTCACACTCAAGGAAAGTTGAATTATGAGAGAAGGAACACACAACTCTGTGAGTCAGGTAGGTTCAATATGTTGTTAAACTGTAAAGTAAGTTTGATGCATCATAAACAAAAGACCTTTAAAATCTCACATGTTGTATTTGGAAGCTTTAAATTCTGGTACAGGCTTAAACAACAAACTTCTTTTACCTCCTGAGCAATAAAGGAAATGTGTTGGGATTTTCCAGTCATGATTCTTGATGTGTTGGTCATAACACTTCCTCTATCGGCCAATGAAAACTTCCCTTTTTAATAAAACATCACATTCAGACCATTGTTTGAGAGTCTCTCCTGTCTTCTCCATGCAGCAGGCGATCAGTGTCTGGGTGCGAGACCCGCGGATACAAAAGAATGACTTCTGGCACGCCTACATAGACTATGAAATTTGTTTACAAGTGAGTAAAATGATCTTATATTTATATTTTTGTTGTTTGTTTCTTTTATGCAACACTGGAGCTTACTGTAAACTGCTGTGTGTCACACTTGTGTCCTGCTTTAGACCGACAGCGTCTACTTCACCAAGAAGATCTCCACCGTGAGGAGGAGGTACAGCGAGTTTGTATGGCTTAGGCAGAAACTACAAGCAAATTCACTGCTAATGTAAGTTCATTTTACTGAATATTGAGCAATTGAGTGACAGCATAAGAACACTTCTACTTTCAGTTCTTGTGCTCAGATAATTCTGTTGAGTGTCATTCTCAGGTTGTGTGTGTCTGTGTTTTACAGGGTTCAGCTTCCAGAGCTGCCCGGGAAGAATCCCTTCTTCAACCTAAACAACGCCCGACAGATCTCTGAGCGTATGAAAGGGCTCCAGGATTTTCTGAAACAGTAAGAAATATCCCACAGATCAATACACATGAACTTTGACATTCTACAGCAGGAAGGTAATACAATTGGTAAATAAGTGTTTCTATATAAAAATAAACAAAGGGGGCCTCGTGACTGCTGCTTTCACATTAGTATAAAACAATGTAAGACTGCAATCAGTAACCTTTACTTGTTCTCCAGGATCCTGCAGAGCCCTCTGCTGTTGTCGGACAGCTGCTTGCACCTCTTCCTGCAGTCAAAGCTCAGTGTGTCCAAGATCAAGGCCTGTGCTGCTGGAAAGACCCACTACTCTGTGGCCCAGGCAGTGCAGCGCTGCGGCCTGAGAAGATTCCACTCCGAAGACGATCTGCAGAAGGCCCTGAAGATGTGCTGCGACTCTGACTCTGACAGGTATTCTAATGAATCTACTTTCAGATCTGATGTATTTGTGATCTAATGCATGTAAATGTAAACCTGTATCTGTTTGTTAGTGTGAGTATGTTTATACGCATGTGTTTCATTATTTACACCTCTTATAATCTTTTAAAGGTCCAGTGTGTAAGATTTAGGTGGAAGGGATCTATTGGCAGAAATTGAATATAAAATAATCCTAGTGATGTTTTCATTAGTGTGTTTCATCTAAACTATGAATCATTCTTTACCTCAGAATGGGCCCTTTAAAAAAAAAATACTTTATATTAACCTCTACAGAGGTTTGGAAGGGGAGGGTGAGGTGAAGGATGTTCAGCTGCAACATGACACTTCACCACTAGATGTCACTAAATTCTACACACTGAACCTTTAAATGTTGGGTATGTTTTGTGTTGACCCTTGAATGTTGCTTGTTTTATTTTGACCTTGGAAAGCTCTCTAAATAAAAATATTACTCTCAGAATTATTCCAATTATTATAACTATTGTCCCTCTGCATAATTCTCTAAATGATGAAATTTCCGTTTTTCATTTTTCATACCCTATTTTATCTTTTGTTGTTCCAGCTCAGATCCAGAGCCTCAGATGAAAGATTTGGAAATAAACAAAGCAGCGAGTGCAGCTTCCCTCGACTTCATGGGAAGCAGCCAGGAGGAAACCCTCAGCATCTCATCTGAATCTACATGAAAACATCATTCTCATTCCTTGAGGAGGAAAGTTGGCTGTTACCCCCGTCATACTGCACTTTTGGAAATCTGTTTTGTTGTGTTCTTGTTTATGCATTTCTGTTCGAAACATGTACGGTGACTAGCAACAAAAGAATATCCAAGAAGAGTTGTTTACCACTGTGTTCTGTCTGTGGTGGCATCCATTTGCCTGAAGATGGCAGTGTTGCTACATCCATCTGTTTGTAACTGACTTGTATTCACTTCATAAACAATCCTAACAAAGCATTATGAGTGCTGGTCATTTATACTGTGAGACTGGTCATGTATGTGCACATAACAATGTGATATGTTCAGCAGTGATAGCGTAATGCATCTCTGTGGCCTCCTCCTAATAAAGTGTACGGTGAGGGGAGCCTGTCACACGGTGGCCACTGCAGTGCTTAGCAGTGTGACATGTGTAATAGGGTCTCTGCAGAGCCTTCAGACAGCCCCCCTGTCAGGTGTGGGGCTGGTAGGAGGTCTGGTGGACTCCCGGCGGGCTCGCTCCTGTCTGCGAGGGCCACCAGGTAGACAGGCTCTACTGCTCCCTGCAGAACAAAATGCCAGCTGCACTGACAGGCCACCTTTTCTATCTGTCACTTAATATTTGTATGAACCTTTTCACTGTACCCTCACGTGTGTGTGTGTGTGTGTGTGTGTGTGTACGTGCATGTGCTCCCACAATGAGCAGCACCATGCTCATGGTGCATATGCAGATGAAAAGACCACTAAACAGAGCAATGGACAACTCACAGATCTGCACAGCTAATTAGGTCTGCTTTGTCTCTGCAGCCGCTGTGATATTCATTATAAATTCAGAATCAGACAAAAGGCTGGTGCTGCAGGGGGGGGCAGAGAGGTGACGTCACCCCACACTTGCTCTGCTCTGAGCAGCAGCACAGTTAGGACAGTGTAGGGAAGCCCACAACATCAAACTGGAGGGGTGGAACGTCCTTTCCTGAGGATGTGTGGGTGTATATGTGACCTCATGCGCATCCAGGTATGTTAATGCAGTAAATGCATGTGTCGTCTTTGTCAGTGCTTAACGACGTGGAGCCAGCATCACCCCGCACCTCCAAACACATGCAAGGAGACTGCTGCAGATGTTTGCTTTGGGCGGATATTCAGGAGGATTTTTATGCCTCTAATACAACGAGAAACCACAGCAGAGGTGATGGAGGAAGGCTGCATTTTCACAGATGTGTGCACTTGGAGAGATACACCTGTCTTACCATTTAATCGAATTATGTTTTTTTCCAATGTTGAATCCTAAATGTGGTTTCATGAATTCATACTTAGAGTTTTGTGCAACCTTCCTTTGTCCTCCTGCATTAAACATTCCTCAGTGATTGTCTTAGCAGCCGGCTATGTCGTCAAAGAAGCACATTTAATTCACTCAGTCCAAACTCTTATATTTCACTTTACTATGACATTGTGGTGACCTCACCGCAGTCACTCCGTTAGACACAAGTCTATTGCCTACATTTTGTTTTTTTACTTGGCAGTTTTGTAGTTTTGCTCAGCATAATTTAGCCATTCTGGGGACACCTAAACTAAAAAAAAACTCCCTGTCTCCAATAAGGTTCAGGCCATAAATTTCACTGTGGTGTCATTGATAAGATGTAGAAGGTACAGTATGTGGTGATTGTCAAATGTCTGGCATAAAGCACGTCCTAGTTATTGTTATTCAAAAATGGCTTAGAATAGACAAATGAACAAGGACATTTTCAGAAACAAGAAGTTGTTGCCTTTCATGAGGTGTCCTTAGAGTTCCTCTTTGCACTTGGGTATGTCAGGCAAACAAATAAATACAAATCTTTGGTTTTTATAAGGTTAGGTTGTCACTGAAATACTCAAAATCGTTGTGGATACTCTATTTTGAGATTCTATGATGGTTTACGCTGAACTATTTTTAGACCAACAAAGTGATACATGGCTTCAGCATTTCTCCATGACACGTTTAGTCCTGGTATTGTGGACAAGGCTTTCAAGCATCCTTCATGATGGGAAATTAAATTTTGTGTCAGTGGGGTGATAGGGTTTAAATGCTAAAAAGCCCAGTGTGCAGAAAGTCATCTTGTATTTTTGAGCTCAACAGTGACACAGATTATGCTTGTTTGAGTTGAGTAACACGTTCTGCCATATGGCTCTGCAACTGGTGTTAACAAGTCTCTAACAGTGAAGTGCTGCTTGTTGCTGACGGTCCTGTGCACTGAGATGTTTATGTTGCTGGTTTCAGTTGGACTGTCCAGAGCTGTATTGACTCCTCTTTTAAATGGTGTGTGACTCTGGTGCATGGTTGTTAACCTTGAGCCGCTGTAGTTGGGCCTGTCAGATCAGCTCTGCTGCCATGACGACACCGACACATTGAAACTGATCAATTGGCAAACGATCACTCTGACTTCAGGGTGGAATTTAGATGGAAATAACCATAAAAGTAAGAGAGAGAAAAGAAAATCAGGTTTTCTTTATTTCCACAAATGCTTTAGCTCAGTTTAATCTAATTAGCATGCTTATTGTTTGACACATAAAACTTTAAAAGATAAGATGAAGGAAAACGGCCCCTCTGGGAGCTGCCCATCTGCCTTAAACCAAGTCAGCACGTCTTTCTGCCACAACAGCTCGAATAAACTCCACCTTATGTCTGTGATCTCATGCTTGACTTACTACTCCCACTGTTGTGTAATTAACACCGATCTACACGAAAGGAAAACACAAAAAAACGCTTTACGCGGAGGAAAGAGCCAAATGGTCAAACCTCAAAAGCAACAATATGAAATCCCAATCAGCGCTCCTCCACTATAAGCCAAAAACAAATTGAAGTATTGAGGGAGATATGCTCCAGTGGAGGCAAATTACAGATAAATCAGCGGCAGCTAATGCATTTTAAGTGCCACATTATACAGAATCCATTAGTAGCGAGAGGAGTTCAGCACCACTTGAGATATTAAATCTCTGTGACTGCAACTCTGTGGAACCGGGATGAGTCGATATCAGAGAGGCCCAGCTCCACTGCCAATAGATACGGGATGAGACCTCATAGGAACCATGCCAGAGTCATAACACCAATAGCAGTGATATGATAATGGCTGAGGCTGGTTATACTGACACGGAGCTTGTTTAACAGCAAGACAATCACATTTACCATATAGAGTCAGATGAGGGAGCGCAGTAAATGATCTGGAAGTCTGGGATTAATTGAACTGTTAATAACATGTGCCTCAGCCCTGAATGTTTTTCAAGGTCTTGCACATTCCATGCCAATACTGAGGGAGGATTTACTGAGGGCGACAAAAACTCCACAACCTGCGAGCCAAAAAGGGGATTTTCGGACATTACATCTGTCCTTGTAGCTGTGTGTGTCTTTTTGTGTGTGTATGTGTGTCTAAGGGCCAACCACATCCTAACACCTGCTTCAATCTGCTGGAAAAAAACAACACTTTTTCCTCAAGGCTGAAACATTTCTCTCCGAGACTCCACTGTCGCAGATGGAAATGAGCTGAATTAAGAGCCATCCATCATTTATCACACCCCAGCAGCCCTGGTACCTCTCCTCGGTTCTGCGTGGCTTCCATACCTGCTACTTCCACCGCCGCATGCTGTCGCCTTTTTGGTGCACTGATGTTGCAATTACTGGGAACGGGTGTGATCAGTGTACCATGGCGAGCAACAGCTTCTCTTCCCCCTGGAATCGGCGGCTGATCAGCGTGAAGGCGGCTCCTCATCCCGCAACGCTGGGCCTGAGGGGGGGAAAAGGGAAGTTGAGATCACCGCTTCATAATTTCCTGAAATAACATGGTGTGTAAAATCAGATATGTTCCCTTAGGAGCATAGAGTTGAAAACAGAAGAGAAGGAAGGGCCTAATACTTTTTGTATATATTTCACATTATAGACATTTCATAAACAAGAGTCCTAATGGTTGAAATGAGCTCAGCCAATTGTTTAATAACTCTGAAAATGAAGTAGACTATTGTAAGATACCTTTAGTGTCTTTTGCTCACCCTTGTATGAATTTGTGTCTTGGCACAGGGGAACAGCCCCTCGGTGTGCCACAAGATCATGTGTGAATAACTGCCCCGCCAGACTAATGTCTTGTTAGAGATGAGGAACGAGTAGAGGGGGAGCTCTTTGGTCAGATCCAGCTCAGTGAATGGAGAGACGGCTGGCGATGGCAGCGAGAGGACGACGGAGGGTGGAGAAACAAGGGGAGGAAAAAAATGGCGGGGTAGAGGGCACCGTCTCTTGAGGCCTCTGTGCTTCGCTGCCAGTGTGTGTAAATCAGCAGGCAGCTCACGGCTGCAATGAGGTAGAAAATAAAAAAAACATAAAAATGTCCAAGTGAAATAAGAGGCAAGGGGAAATCTTTTATGATGAGCCTAAATTCTCCTTACTCTGCAGTAGATCCACTGGCCGGCTCAGCTTGTCTTCTCCAGACACCGTCCATCATCCCAGTGTCTGCATGTAGCCACAAATTACTCAAATTACCCCACCTGCTATTCATTTAATACATATGTAATGAGTATCCTAAATTCACATGATTATCATTCATGGTATGTTAATAGGCCTGTGTCAAATTCATTAATATGCACGCAACATGGTGTGAAGTGCCAAACCTGAAAGTCTGAAGTTCTCCATGTCTGGTGTCATTCGAATAAAGACCTGACAATTTGAGTATTGACTATATCCCATCCTTTGGGAATAGTTACAGAATGATCAAATTTATCAGAAGGTCTGGTAGCGTCAGAGCTTTCAGACCTTCCCTCACAGTCGTCTGCAGCAGAGGGTTGAGCGAGATCACCATCACGTGCCCAAAGTGTGGAAGTTCCCCAGCTGAAAGCTCAGAATGACAGTAAGAGGACCTTTGAGATTACATTACTTTTTTTATCATCACATTCATCTTGTTGATCATATTTAGATGGATTTCTTCAGACTCTCTCACTTTTCCCCAGAGCTTACTCCACTTACAGTACTCCAGTGCTACGGACATGAGCGCTGCAGTAAGACAACACAAGTTTATTTAAAGCGCCTGTAAAAAAGTATTGAGTCTCCACAATGAATCAAATACTTGAAACATCTCAACAGAGAAAAAAAAACACACACACAAAGTAATCAGAATTTAATCAATTTAAAATAATATAGTTACAACAAATAAAACAACTTACCATGTTTTTGTAAGTATTTACCCTCTCTAACAGGACACTTGCAGCCATCACTTTAGAACTCACATGTTCACTTGAATTCACTTGCCTGTGGTCAAGGCTTTCAGTTATGAGTACACTTGCATCTGAAGGCTGGTGCTCCTCAAACAACTCGGAGAAATCGAAAATCATCAAAACATTGTCAAATATAAAGCAGAATTAACACAAAAACACAACTAAAGGTGTTTATATCATTTCATATTTAGAGAATGTGTTGCTTTCTGGCTTTCTCCAGGTTGCTTATTTATTTAACGTGTGGTTTTCTGGCTTTCTCCATGCTTGATTTGAGTGCCTCAGCTTCTACGTTACAAATACAACAAATGCCATATTTTTTATTCACTGGGAGACTTGCCAGCAACAACTCACCTTCCACAAGTATGGTTTGATGTGCAGAGAGGCCAAATCATCAGAAAGCATCCGTCAAAACTGCAAAATTGGTACATTAATCTCATTATTCAAATATATTCTCACACATTTAAGAATTTGAAACAGTTGTGTGATTTGTGTGTAGTTGCAGACTGTAAATGGTCTGTGTCCTCAGACCGTGGCTCTGGTGAGCAGCTCTGTGTGTACCTTGGCTACTGAATTAGCTCAGGTTAGCTTGGCAGGATCCGTGCTTGGACACATACCAAAGCTGACACTGAGCGGGAGCGATGGCAGCTCCTGTAACTGCAGCTCTCACACCTCTGCTTCCTCTGTCAGGGGATGCCAGCCTCACAAAAAAGTTGCTCTATTATAAGCCGACACTGACACAGGATCCCAACCTGAACGTGGGGTCATTAGGACCAATGGCATCTGACTCAGTGGAGGGGGGGTGGGGGTGGGGGGGTAAAAGAGGAGAAAGAGAAGGCGAAGGAGGAATGATCAGTTTGCACAGGACTGGCAGCTGCAGTTAGGAGTGAGCTGCAAAGTGTGGCAAGGGCTGTAATTACAGTTAGAGCATCTCTCGCATCTTTGACCCCTCCTGATTACAAACTATCCTCCCAGACCACCCACGGTCATTACTCACCTCACTAACTAGCCGAGTAAATCAGTGGCGGAGCGCTGACCTGATATTAGAGCCACAGCCGGAGAATAAACAGGGCCAGAGTACAGAGGCTGCAGCCTTGTAAATAATCTGTGTGGAGATGGAGTGGGAGCGAGGCGTGGGAGATGTTTATAGCAGGTGGACAAACACCCGTCACTTTGATAAGCCTGATTTATCCTGAGTGACATGTCAGCACATAGCTCTGCGCCACCTGACAGGCCGCACAGCCGAACCCCACACTCAACACGAGGCCTGCGTGTTACAATGGAGTAAGTGAGAGATGACAAGTGCAGCGGGAACAGCTCCATCCTTTTAAAACATCAGCTGGGACAGGATGCTGTTTTAGCAGCATCTTCAATACAGTTGACGAGGATGTCTTTAAAGGCGGAAACTGGACCATCAGACACTGGACATGCAGCTTGATAAAGACAGAGAAAGACACTGATAATGTGAGAGAGGTGGGCGTGGTGCTTGTAATAAATGACCTGTCCAAAGTCATATTTACTGGCCTGCCACTACCCCCCCACTCAGCGGCTCATAACCCACATTATCCATTAGATATTGAAAATCGGTGAAGGAAATGAGAGTCCCAGCCTCAAACTCCAGAAATATGAATTTTTCAAAGCCTGTCATGATCTGCGTTTTTGCTTTCACTTTAAATGCACCGTGTCTCCTCGCAATGTCATAAGCGAGCGGCAAGGAAACCTTAATTTGTCAGCTGCCATGAGTTATGTTAACAGAAACTGACCTCAATTAAGAGTGACTTGCATTTAAAAAGTGTCTATTTCAGATTTTAAGATTTAGACCAGGGGGAGAGGCTTTAATGGAATGCTGACAGTGGGCCAGTTGGAGAGGTAATACATTTCCTGCAAAATGTCAGGGGATACCACATAAATAAGGCCGTGTTATTCTTGACAGAAACTCTCCATGAAGCTGCAGCGTGATCTATGGTCCAGTGACCTGGTTAAAGAGCAGCAGAAACAGCTGACAGCTTGATCAAGATTACCTCTCTAAAGTGGTATAGATCAAGTCTTTAGCCTCCCCACTAACCCCGGGGGTAATGGTACGAAATGATGATGGCATAAATGAAGATGAGCAGGTATCACTTTGAGCACAGAGGTGTTTGTGTACTGACAGGAGGTGTGGAGAAAAAGAGGAGAAAAAAAAGTAAAACACACGTCAGATAAGAAGACATGAGCTCAAATCAGTGAAAAATGTATTCTGTATCTGACGTGAAATTTGTTTTATATTTCCATCATCTTTCTCAGCTAACGGAAATTTATTCATTATTACTCAGCAGCTCAATCTATATATATTTGGCCGGTAAAAGTGTATCTTTATGGTTGCAAGTATTAATTAGTGATATTCTGGTATCATTAGTGTAATTTAGTGCTCGGTAAATTAATGGCACCGTGGCATTTATCTATGAAACATTATATCTTGATGTTAAATTGCAATAAAAGAACCTGTATATTCTGAGGATATGGCTGTCCAAATCTAACGGGGGGATGGGGATGTAGTTGACATCCATTAAGGAAATCCTTTATTGGCACATAAAAATGAAGCAATATTTAGCTTTACTTGCCTTTGGCAAGCTAACCCATAGCCTAGCATTAAAAAGGAGGACTCTTAGGGGGAAATACTGAGCTATGTCAGCAAAAGAAATATTTCTGCTTTAAATCCACAAATTCAGCATCAATCCCAAAACAGGTTTAAATATTTCATAATCTACTTGAATGACTGAATTATTCAGGCTGATGTTGTCAGAGATGTCAGGAGTGGTGCATCTCTACTGGCTCAATATCACATTCTTGCACTACATCCCTTCCCTACAGTAAAACAAAGCATTTCCTCTCTCTACATCCAATGTAGTATATTCAATAACTAATTATGGTAATTCATTACATCTTCAATTAGCAGAGAGGCTTTATCACCGCACTATAGAGTAAAGAGCAGGATTTATGTGGGCTTTGAATGTCACCCAGAGGACAGAGGACGAGCTCATCACTCAAAAGGAACAAAACAGAGAGACAGGAGCAAGGAAAAAATAGAGGGAGAGAAAGATACAGTGAGTTATTGGTTAATGAATGCATTTTCCTTCCCATTTTCTCGCAACCTTGAGAAAACCTTGACAAGGCCTCTTATCTGCAGCAAACTGAAAAGGACTGTATTGATGGGAGAAAAAAAAGTATGTTATATAACTTGGATTTTTCTGCGAGAGCACTGTAAAAAGATATGTACAGTATGTATGTAACCTCATTGGGATATGCCGGGCTAACGCCACCTTGCCTGCTGTCAAACAGCCCCTCAGAGGGCGATAAGCATCCCTGCTATCTGTGTGCGTGGCTGTCTTATTACTGCACCTCAGCCGTTCCACACAGGCAGCAGCACAGCCAACCATCTGCCACGCCATGATCCTCTGCCCAGCCAAGTCTCTCAGGTGCCATAAAAACACACAGTGTCCCTTTGAAGCCCAGAACAAAAGTGCTGACCACATGAATAAACTCAGCTTTAAAAATAAATCAGTTTTCATTTATCCACCAGTTTGTGCACATAGGTTTTGTGTGCACGCTGGATTCGATGTTGCCAGTGGCCTGATGTTAACGGCACATTACAGAAGCCGAATGATGTGGTTTTTTTGGTCGGCTATGATATTACTGATAAATCCACATAATCCTTATGTGTGAGCCCCAGAAAGTAGTTCACTTTTCTCCTGACATTCAGTCGTTGAACCTCATGTGAAAATTTCTACTTCAAGGTGAAAAAAAAAACTGGCAGGAGGTATTTTTGCCTGGAGCATCTCTGTTACCAAGGTAATCTATGACCTTCAAAGACACTCTATTGCCACCTTGTGGCTTTAGCAGCAGTTTAAATGATACAAAAACATGCACTGACACAATAGATCATGTCTGAGTCTTTATTTATGTTGCCACTTGCTAATAACAAGTTTGCCAAAAGCAAAGCATGAAATGCTGTGAATGTTGCCTAGACAAATAAACACAAATAATCAGTGCAATGTAGGGAAATATTCTTAAATATGTATTTCAGTGATATGAAAATCTTCTTATCTTGTCATCAGTCACATTGGCTGAGGGGGAAATGATCCTGAAAAGTGACACAATGGACTAGTTAAGATAAAGTGGATTTGTACCATTTACATATTATGATAATTAAACTTGTAAAAAAAGAATAGAACTTACATACTTATAAGGCGTAAAGCTCAATCAGATACTCTTTGGGGACAATTCCTATGTTTCCGTTCTTCTCTCCAACCCACCAGCCAAAGCACTGGTACTCCTGGATATGGGACAGAGTGGAGACAATGTGCTTCAAAGAACAGAATGTATTGATTATTGATCAGTTATCAGACAAGAAAAGCTCAGGTGAGTGTTGAATGATAAAATTAGACCTTTGATAAATCATTTGACAGTAAAATCCATTGTTTTGATGAATGTTGGGGTAATTTTCAAGCAATAATGTCACACATTTGATTATTGCATCGTCTTCAGAGTGAGAGTTCAATACTTTGTCTAAAAAAATATTTAGATAAAGCAGCATTTCATATTTTGGATTCCTCTGCTGGAGACTGAATGACACAATATCTAAGAAATGTATCAAAATCTGAAGTTTAGAACAAATAACTTAACTCTTTGTCACTGATGGTCATCTTAATATAACTGTTTTCCTTCCGCTCCCACAACATCCCATCAGCCTCTACATTTCCTGTTCCCCTGCGCCGCCTCTGGTGTCTGTCCTGAGAATGAACACACGTTCCTTCTCCGCTCCCCACAAAAACCTCAGTGTGTGCGGTGCACATCGCAACATAAATGTGTCACAGCGTGACAAGTAATAGCTCCAAATGGCTGTCACCATGCTGAGATGTGAGGAGGACACCGTGAGGAGAGATCTGAGACAAGAGCGAGTGGGGGGGGGGGGTATCCCTGCCTCTTTCTCTTTGGCCAAGAGCCTGAACTCCCATCAAAGTCTTCCTGGGACATGAATCAGCTCTGAAGATCATGTTCTGACACGGCTGAAGGGAAGAGGAGCCGCCACAGTGTTTCAAATCCAAAGCAGAACCAGTGAACGAGAGGGAACCACATGTGTCCAGTTATTCCCAGAAGAGAGTAGTGGATGTGAGTGATCGTGAGCTAGTATCAGACACAGGGAGATTCCAATAACAATAGCGATGGTTCACACTGACAGTTGTTTGGTGATTTGTCACGTCAGATTATTTAAAAAAAAGAGTGTTGACTTACTGTCAGTGTCACAGAGTCAGATGATGATGAAAACACAGTATGATGTTATTAGCTCATCTAAATTATTAACCACAAATTAAACATCACACCAAACAAACAGAAACGGTCACATCCATTTCTTTTATGTGTCACATGATGAAAATGTCACTTCATCAACCGCCCCTGGGGGATAATATAGCAGACTGACATGAGGTGTGTGTATAAGAGGGTGCGAGAACGAGCGTGTGTGTGTGTGTGTGTGTGTGTGTGTGTGTGTGTGTGTGTGTGTGTGTGTGTGTGTGTGTGTGATGGAGGGCTGTGTGCGAGGGCACATTATGACTTCCTGCAGCCAGCCTTTGAATACAGCAACACTTCATTGTGTAGCTCTGGCTGACAAATCACTCATGCTTGAGTGAGTGCGGGACACAACACGAGAACACACATACACAGAGCTGTGGAAGACAAATGACACCACACACTGCGACGACACAAATATACCCCAAAGCTGCCCGATATCCTGTAATCGTATTAGTTGGAGCTAAAGAAAGGCTCGCTGAGCGTCCATTTACAAGCACACACTGTTAAAAAGAGCGATAAGTTGAGGACAGATCTGCAGACGAGAGAGCAACGGCAGCAGCATCAACCCATCACCCATTATCAACCCATACAGCCACTTCTGCTAAGTGAGATGTTACATTTCTCAATTAGTTTTATGTGCAGTCACTTGCACCTTGAGGGGGGTGGCGGTGGGTGGGGTGCTGTAGCATATCCGGGCAACACACTCACTCCCCTCACTTCCCCCAGTCAGACCCTAATCGACACCCAGCTCCTGACTGGGGGGTCTCACAGCTGTAACACCGCAGCTATTTCTGAGCTGTGGAATGGTGGGGGGGGGGGAGGCCCTGCAAGGGAAGAGGGAGAAAGGAGAACTGGGTGGGTGGGGGTGGGTGGGGGATTGCCTGGCTGTCCACTTTAGCTGCAGCTGGCTGCTGCAGTCCAGACACGTTTTATGGTCATTGCCCTCACAGAGGACCACAACCCCCAACACCAAGGTTTCAGCTAATGGCACTCCCAGTCTGAGTGAAAGAGCAACTTGATTCTTGCTCCTTTTTCCACACACACACTGAGGAGGAGGAGGAGGAGGAGTAATAAACAGGCATTTGGCCAATGAGCATTGATGCGTCTGTCTGCTTTGTGCATTTGTTTCCGTCTTTTAGTGCTGAATCAATTAATCAAAAACAAAAAGAAAATCAGTTTTGCTTGAGCCATATATCAAACAGAGATGCTCGACTCTGCTTTTGAAATGTGAAAAAATTGATGTGTATTTGGATTTTGTGCAATTTGTCAGGCAAAATAAATGTAATCTCAAGCTCTGGCAAATTTTAATAGACGATTTCCTCCCTTTTCTCATATTTTACGAAGCGAGAAATTCATCAATTAATCAGTAAAATGAGTAGCAATTAATTAATAAAGAAAATAAATTGCAGTTGCAGCCTAGTTAATTTGCCCTGATTGATAAAGACGCTGAGGTTTTACACACAATTATAACTGATGTCTTTATAAATAAATAAATGTCTGGAGCTCATCAGTCACAGTGTGCTTTTGAGTCTTGATGCCACTAGATGGCAGACTTGAATTTGAAAATGGCTCTGGCCTGTCAACAGTCTCAGATGACTACATGCTCCATAGAAACCAAACCAGACAGGAAATATATGCAGCCTACATGGAGCACATTTCACACTTTTTCTTTTTTTAAACACAAACCACAGGAATCTGCAAAAGTGTATAATTCCTTGACGCATTTGCTGTGAAATGTTCAAAAACAAGCTTGTTAAACGTATCACAACAAAATCCAATTTGGCGTTGATATGAACCAGCTCAGGACAAAAGGTCTCCTGTTTGGTTACATAATAAAGGTAAAGAACCACCTCTCCGAATCACCACACCTGGAGGCCTGGGGCCCTCGCCCAGTCAACAAGCCGTGGAAACTCTGTGTCCACTACACGTCCTCACCTGCTCTGAATAGAGCGGCGGGCTGAGCCTGGGTTTCCTGAGAACACACATTCCTATTTGGCGAGGTGAGAGCGATGTCTGGGAGGTGTGTGGGCTGAGGGCTGCTCGCCGCCTGGCATGGCAGCAGTGGCGATGGCGTGCTGAAACAGTCCAGATGGAAGTGATGGAATGACGCCGTGTGCCAGCTAAGCCCAGCTTCCGCCAACAACACTAAAACAGTTTCCGTTGTGACACGACTAATCCCCATCACAGTGCCAGAGAGGGAGACGAGCCCAGTCTGCCTCTTACCATCAGCCGCTCCACCTCCAGGCGGTGGGTCAGGCGCTGCCAGTAAAGGATGTGAACAGTCAGTTCCTCTCAGGGCCTGGAAATAACTCACTTTAGGTGGTCTGTCTGGGACAAGCAGAATCCTGCAGACTGAAAAACCTCCACTCAAACGTTTGAGTTTGACTTAATCCTGGCTTTATGCAGCTGGGGACAAATCAAGGCTTTTCTCACAAGTCGTCTAACCGTACCTTGCTCAGGATGTAGACCTCATCTCCTCGTTTGAACGACAGTTCATCTGGGTGGTCCCCTGCACAGTCCCACAAGCACTGGAAGAAGTTCTGGTAGTCTGTGCTCTTATCAACTAGACAGGAAAAGGGTGTAAAAGAAGATTAGAAGTTTAAATTCCTAATGAAAGTCATTGTTTTACATCTACAGGTCTGACACACAAAGGGATTGTTAGTGAGGAGCAGAACCAACAGGAGGCAGTAGAGAGCCTGAAGCAGAATGTAGAGAAACCATGATGAGAGGCAACATGATGAATACATCACAGTTAGAGTGTGTAGTATGCTCAGAGTGACAATACAAAATAAGTATT